TGTAGAAAAGGTTGATGTAGGTGTTAAAGAGTATTTGGAGCTAGCTGAATATAATAAGTGGTCAAGGTGTCATGCAGAAACTCATCGGGGATGGGCTATGACGTCTAATATTGCAGAGAGTATAAATGCTGCACTAGTGTCTATGAGGGAATTACTAATTTTTAATTTCTGAAAGAGGTTAGACTGATGTTTGGGAGATGGAATCAAGACAACAAACACGACGTAGCATGTACATTTACTCCGTTGATTGAAAAAATTCAGAATATATTGGTCGAAAATGAAGCAATGAGCACAAGAATGGGGGTATATTTTATGTATATATAATATTGATTAATCAATAATTAATTATTTTAAAATTGTATAAAGACAATTATGCACACAGTTAGAATTAATACATATACAAATGCATAAAACTTATACATATACATAAATATGTTTGTATGAAACAGGTTGTGCCATCGACTGAATATATACACAATGTGACTGATGATGGTAGGAGTTTTGTGGTCTGTTTAAAGAATAAAACATGCAGCTGTGGAAAGTTTCAATACGAAGAAATACCATGTGAACATGTTTGGGCTGTACTGAAGCGGAAAAGTCTAGTAGCTGATGGATATTGCTCGAATTTGTATAAACCAATGACAATTTTAAAAATTTATGAGATATCAATTTATTCGTTGCCTGATGTAGCAGAATGGGTGACACCTGAATACATAATGTATGATGAAGTTCGGCTTCCAATATTCAAAGACCTCCAAGAAGGCCAAAAAAGAAACCTCGTTCAAAAATAACACGTGAATTGGTTGGTCTCAAAGGGAAGCATACATGTAGCACATGTGGAGTTGCAGGTCACAATAGGTGTTCATGTAGAAACAGGCCTCAAGAAGTTTAATGAGCTCTTTCGATTATATTGGAGTGTAATATTAGATTTTATAGATACTTGAATGTTATTCTCAACTGATTTTGTGTTTAAAGCTATATGAGTTGGAATGGTGATGATGAAATAAATTTGTTATGTCCTATTAACAGTGAGCATTTTTGTTCTTCTTTTTGTATCCATGCTCTTGTATATACTATGAGTTATCGTTGTCGTATATATTGTCCATCGTATACAAAAATTGTATATGTATAAGTTAATATTGTAACATATTATTATCTTTGTATTTATGCTAGTATAAATAATTCTATGTGTATTTGTTCTATTGAAATATTTTTCTCTTTTTGAACAGAAAATGTATATGTATACTCTATATTTATACTGTATGAACGATTGTATAAGCTGGCTAGATTTATATAGTTAATGTATAAATATACGTTGTTATTTAAGTGGTTTGTATATTTATACTTTATCAACGATTCTACAAGCCTAACAATGTATATGTATATACTCAACATAAACCATACTCCTAGATTTATATAGTTAATGTATAAATATACATTGTATAAATTGGTTTGTATATTTATACTTTATGTAACGACTGTATAAGCCTAACAATGTGTGTATATATATATACTCAACATTAAAATATACTCCTAGATTTATATAGTTAATGTATAAATATACATTGTATAAGTTGAATTGTATAATTATTAAAGTGTTAAGCAGCATAATATAATGAAATTAACAAAAAACAAACAAGTAAAAGACTTAAATGATCAAACGAGTATATTACAACCAAAAAACTGGGAAGTTCAAAACATTCAAGGTTATTATGCATGTCATTTGCAAATACAAAAGAAAACAGAAATTTAGTACTACTGTTCTAATTAATTGTGATCCTTTCACTGCTATCGCAATCCCTATGAATTCTGATTGGCCTTTCTGGTGCCTCGCTATCAATAGTGGCATCGGATTGGATCTTTTGCATTCCATAATTCCACAATAATGCACCATATCGAATACGTGTGAACTCTTAATCGAATGCATGTTGCTGCACCTTGGCACACAGTTGATAACATTATCATTCCTGTTAACATTTAGGAGATCTTTCACTGGATTTTGATCGTTGTGTCCTTTAATGATAGATGTATATAGATCTATGATTCTCTTAGTGGTGGTGCACTACATGATTCAAAACTTGGAAATGAGATCGAGAAATATGCACATCTTATTCCCATGTATCCATCTAAGTCTGATTTTTACGGGAAGAAAGACATTGACATATCTTCACACCCGAAATACAAGTCCCACTCTGAAATTGACTCGTTTGAAATGATTTATGTCAAGGATATACCACAACAAAATGAAGAAAGCTTGTAAGTTTTATTATGGTTATTTTTATTTCTATTGTTATTGTTAATTTTGTACTGACCATAAGATTTGATGTATTTTATTTTCAGCGACTGTAGACTATATGTTGTTGCTTATGCAGACCATATCAGTAATGATATAATAAGCATTCCAGATGTTGTCAATCAAATTATTGAAATTGCAATCGGCAGTGATAAAACTGAATGTATTGTTGTCAGAGTACTTGGCTTTTTTGCGTATGTAATATAAAATGACATTTATGTGCTGTAAAAATAAGTAGGTATAATTTGTATAAAATTGTCATTTATACAGAATATATCAATTGTATAATGAAATAAATAATATCACACTTACCGAGTCATCAAACAATTGATCTTTGTATGCAAGCTTATAGAACAGTTCTTGTTTTGGACAGTGACAATTTCAAAATGAAACCACAATTGTAAGACAACTTTTTTCTTTTTGTATCGCTTCTCTTTGCCCTTCTTAACAAAATCAAAATCAAAAGCTTTATACAAATATACGTATATATAATTAAATTTGTATATTTAGTAAGTGCAAAACAATTTACTTTGTGTTGTGCTTAACAAGCATGCCTTCATTTAACCATTTCCAAAAATGCATATACATAGTTATAAGATCCACATCCGACATTGAAGCAAATGAATGTTTCAAATCAAAGGTGAAAGGAAACCTTGATGAACTACCTGAAATGTATAAAGTCATAAATAATCATTATAAGACTAACATTTATTGGTATGTCTGTATTATTGTGTAAACAATAAATTTTGTTATACCACACTCTGATTCGAATGATCTCACAGAAGGCGAGGTGTTGAATTGGCCAGGACGCCTTTCACTAGGAATTGGTAATGGTGTGTGCTCGTCCACAACTAACAAAGGATGTAACACCATGCTTCTTTCTGAATAAAGGTTTGATTGGTCATCATGTACCATCTGAAGAGGTGATGGACACATGAAAACTTCTTCAACAACTAATTTATTGGCATTGAATGATCCTAGTTTGTTTGTATCTGTAAATTCTTCCTTTTCCATCTTTTCAGTTTGCTTGTATATAACATTTAATAAATCCTGCTGTTATAAAATAATAAACAAAAAAAATTTCAAATGAACGGATTATATACAATTATAAAGTCAAACTTATGAAGATAAAAATTGAGAACTACATACAAATGATGAGTTGTTGAAGTCTGCTTGATCATTCATGATTTGGGATCCCTCTTTGTTAACTTCAATTAGAACATCTTGACAATCCTCCTTCTAAATATATAATAGATGAACCTCAAAAATGTTTGAAAACTTTGAAGTGTTCTAAACCTCAAAAGTGCTTGGAACCTCAGAATTGTTATGAACTTGCAGCAAATATCACTTGGTATATTAATAATAAGGGAAAATGGACAAATATACCCCGAACAATCATAAATGGTATGTTAATACCCTCCGTTATACTTTAAGGTTATATATACCCTTACCGTCAATTATTTTTGGATCATCTATACCCTTAAGACTAACAGATTGACACATGGCATCATCTAAATAACTTACCTGATTTTTATTTATTTATTTATCCAAAAAAAATTGAAAACCCACCCATTTTCTATACTTTACCCACCCATGGCCCAAATTAAATATCATGACATTTGTTGACACCCAATTTTGACCCTCCCCGATAGGAATTAATTCACGAGCTTCTTAATTTCCAAACAATTTAGAATAATTAGTTTTATAAAATTCAAATACTCTGCAAAGTCATCTTAAGTGATTTTTGGTCGATTTTCATAATTTATAAATAATATATATTTCATGTAATTTTATATATCTGTAATTAGTATATTTTATAAATATTTGAAAATCATATCGAAAGATTTCTACACTGATAAGATATGTATTTTTATTTATTTAGTTTTAGTTTGAATTATATGTTTTAATTTTGAATTAATTGGTTTGTATTTAAATTAATTATCTTATAATTAAGTTAATTATTTTATTTCGCTAAGGTTAAGAAGTTCATTAATTGATACTAATTCATCTTATTTTGTTGTTAGCCAAATTCGCCAATTTAATTCAATATGGCTAAAATTTCAACTTAAATTGGTTACAATTGTAATTTGTTAGTTATTTTGTAATTGCGAATATAGCTATTTCCTATCTTAGCTTCCAATTCTTTAAGACCCAAAAATTGGGTCATTTAATTCCAACCCAAATTATGCTCCAAATCAGCCCAACCAATTAATTCCAACCCAACCCCATCATTTTCCAGCCGACCCAAACCTCCAACAATACCCAACCCCTTTGTTTTTTCTTTTCTTTTCTATTCCAACGTTAACAACAACAATCCACCACTATGTTTCCTTCAACATTATCAGAAACCCAGAATGGGATGACGACGATAGCGGCAAAAGCACGCGTCCTCCGTCCTTGCAGCTACGAGATGGAGACACGTAGCACCTCAAGGACGGGTGATTTGATCCCATCCGTCCGCCCCCTTTACCTTTTCGGAATGAGCCCAAAACCTCAAGGAAAAGGTGTTTGTTTGAATTGGGTAAAGAATTCAATTTTTGAATTTGGAATTCGTCCAAAAATCTACCCGATTTCCCCCCCTTTTTTCCATCCCAAAATCTACCCTAAGTTTCCCCTATATAACGCCTTTGATGTTCATTTGCAAGGGGGGATTTTTTTCGGAGTTAAAAATATTTTTGTGTTAGAGAATCATTAGAGAAAAGAAAAGAAAATACTAAGAGGAAGTTGCTGGAATTTGGGAGTACATACAGAAAACTAGAATCAAAGAGTGAGAATTTCGGTTTGCTAGAGTCTTTGCTCGTTTTCTCTGGTTTGTTGTCGGTGTTCGTGGTCGTGTGGTGGAAGAGCTCGTTCCAGCTCGGCTGTCCCAAGTTCGCTGCTCCCCGAAAGGTAAACTTATTTTGATCTTAACTCGTCTTAGTTGGCGTTTCATTTGATATTTGAAGCTCTCTGCTGGCTCTTTCTCTCCCTCTCATGAATGCATCTGTTTCATCTTGATTCACTGTTAGTGTTCGATAATCGCTCGGTTTAATGTCTTAGTTGATATTTCTCCTTAGTTGTTGAAGATGAAAGTTTGATAGTTAAAAGTTTGAGTTGTCTTACTGTTGGTTCATTTTATTCTGCTTTGAAGAAGTCGGCTGAATCTATGACTCGTTTTGCTTAAAATAGTTTGATGTTCAAGTGCAAGTTTAGTAGTTCGTGATTTTTATCTTTTTATTTTTTCCTTCCATCTTTTATTTGGGTTTGATATTAGACTTAAATCTTTGTGTTTGCTGTGAAAGGAAGAATGCTTTCTGTCATTTATTGTTCATAATTCTCTTTTTTTTTAGACAAATCTAACATGCCTTACTGTAAAAAATAAAATAAAATGAATCTTTCTTACTCTTGGCATTCTCATGATATATATATTCATTATGTCATAGTATTATACATTCTTTATTTTACTTCTATTATTTTGTTAGATATCTTGTGTTAGTAGTATTTCGATTAGTTCATATATTCCTCTATGTGTTGTATTGTTAAAGAATGGATGAGTTCATGGTTGCCTCTGTTTTGTTCTTGCATTTTGTCAATATGCCTCCATCTGTTGCCTTATTCTCTTGTGAAATTTCAATTCTTTAAGTGGAACTTCGGTTAGTTTGAGCACAACTATTATATGTTATAGTCCAAGCATGATTGTCGCATACTTAGTTTTATAGTCTAAGCATGATTTTAGCATATTTAATTTTCTTTTGAATGACCAATTGGTGATTTTCTTTTCTTCAACTTTTTTTTTTTTTTATTTGTATATAGTTGCGTAATTTTGTTAAATAATTCATGGTTCGCCCTTTAAGTGTGAATATTAATCTTTGTTGTATTCCTTTTGTATGTGATAGTTGCCTTGAGTCCACGAGACTTTTCCCTTGCATTTGGAATCGGATTGAAATCCAACACCGTTATCGAGTCAATCATAATGGTGTACAGGTTGGAAATTGACAATACTGGCTGGAAGTTGAATTCTCATGTTCCGGAAACTCGAAAACAAGCTGAAATACAACTTGTATACAGATGTATACATGAGTATACAGTCGAAAAATAACAACATACAGGGAAAAACGTGAGAACTACAGGTGGAAAAGGCGAAAATACAGAATTGAAACAAAATTACAGGTCCGAGAGTCTAAAAATTAGCGATATATATGGTGTATACCTCGGATATACACTTCATGTATATCATGATCAATGAAGATGGAAATGGGTCAAAAGCCCAATGAGTTGTTATTTTTGCAGATTTAGGAATTTGTTTGGCCCAAATTCAATATACTTCCTTTCCCTCTCTTATTTATTTTATTGTATTTGACTAACACTTTGATTATCTTATGATTCAATTTAATTAAATTCCCCCGAGAATGGTCATTTCATTTTATTTTCGAATTAAAGTATATATTATTTTATTACTTAGTTTTTTATTTTAATATTAGGCTTGTTGACATTTTATGAACTATTCCCCTTTAGAAAATCCCCCTTTAGTTCGTTTCCCCTTAAGATGAATAAAAAATGAAAAAAAAAAAAAAAAATAGTAATAATGAATTAGTTAAAATAAATTAGTTCTTTTACTAAATTAAAATTTTAAAAATAATTAGTTAAAACAAATGAATTCTTTTACTTCGTTAAAACTTTCAAAATTAGTCAAAGTCGTGAGTTCTTTACTTAGTTAAATTTTTAAAAAAAAAAAATTAGTTAAAATAAATAAATTCTTTTACTTAAGTTAAAATTTCAAAATTTTTCAAAATCATTTTAGTCAAATCGCCGGTCAACCGCAAGTTAGCGGACATTTGAGGGCCTAAAACCTTCTCGAAATGTACATTTGAACTTCGAACCCTTTTCAATTGATTTTATCTGTTTTAAATCTTTTGAAAACCTTAAAGTTTTTTCTTGATTTTTACTAAAAAAAAATTAAGTGGCGACTCTGTCATTTTGGAAATTCGATTTCTCTTAAATCATAAGTTTAATCGATTTTTCGAAAACTCAGTCATTTTTCCTTTTACATATATTTTTAAGTAAAACAGAAATGACGACTCTACTGGAGATTTAATTAAGTTCTAACCATAAGATTTGACTTATTTGACTAATTGTATTAATTGCTAAATTGTTTATCTGCTCTCAACGTGTTTAATTTATTATAATTGTCATTGCATTCATGGCATCTTCCTATTATATGTATAGTATATTAAGGACAGTTTTTGCATAATCGCAGCCGGACTTCTTATACTCAACCCTTTTCGGAAGGATCGGCGATTTATTGGTACGTCATGCGTCCAATGGTTGTCGTGAATTCCAGCCTAAGTTGTCCATTTGGGTTCCCGGTCTTTCAAAGCCACTCTTAGTCAACTAGTGTAGAGCAAAACCAAATCCCAATTTTTAGCGCATTTTGAACTAGGTCGACCCAACACCCAAGGCGTGTTAGGCCCATTAGAAGCCTACCTTGTGTCTATTTGGCTCATTTGCCAATAAAAAGACAATCATACTTATGTGTTTTAATTGAACGATGTATATGCCATTTTTAACAAATCAATTATCAAGTGGAGGTGGGGGTTAACTTACCTTTATTTGTTTCCTTGTAGGATGAATCCGACGTTTGAGCCGTTGAGAACCCGAATGGTGACTATACCTGATCCTTACCTCCAAGTTTGGTGGAAATTCATGAACAAAGAAGATAAAAAGAAAGTGCAAAGACACAAAGATCATCTCCCGTCATTTATGGAAATAGTGGCTTACCCCGACTTGATTGGAACGATGGTGAAATTTTGGGACAGCGACAACATGGTATTTCGATTTGGGGAAGTAGAGTTGACTCCGACTATAGATGAACTTCTTGCCAGTTACGAGAGTGTTGGCATGTGCAACAAGAGGAAACACCAACCCAATACTGATCTTCTCTTTTCAAAAGTATGGGATTTTACCGAAATCAAAGAAAAATTGTCACTCGTCAAAGCTGAAAGGATGGACAGGCTGCCTGGGTCAAATATTCCACTTCGGAAGTTGTATTATCAATTTGGACGTGCAAGAGCTTACGAGAAGTTCAAAGAAGAGTTTGTTTCGGAAGAAAAATGGAAGGAGACACGCCCTTTCGCTTTTGCGATATGTCTACTTGGGACAATGGTATTTCCCCAAGGACCGAACGACACCATGCATCCAAATGTAGTAATGGTTACTCATGCTATTTTTAATGGAGTAGACTATGGGCCTATAAAAAAGTACTACAATTTGGCTCCTATGATCCTTGCTGACATTTACAGGGTGTTGGATAGGTGTAAAAATGGCACACGTTTCTTTCAAGGGTGCAACCTGATACTTCAATGGTGGATGATGAGACACTTGATCAAAGCTCATGATCCAGCAGAACCAAATCCCTTGGAAAGACCGAACAGGCTAGAAAGTCACGATTGGTGGGTGCAACGTAATCATTTCAACAGGATTGGAGGCCAAGAATTTTGGTACCCAAGACTTCAGGGTTTGAGAGAGGAAAATGTGCAGTGGTCGATCTAATGCTTGGTAATAACAAAACAAATTGTCATCCGAAGCAGAAAGGCCCCCTACTTAATATTTGCTGGGTTGAGAGGAACTCGGTCATACGCTCCTTCTCGAGTACTTAGACAGCTAGGAGGGAAACAAGAGCTTCCTCAGATCGAAGATATGACAAGATTTGTGACGGATCATGAAAATGGCGAAGTTGCTTTTACGAAAAAGATGCTTCAATTATGGAAGACTCGAAGGGTATTGGGTGAGCCGGTGCCAAATAGGTTTCGTCCGGAATGTTCTAAGGATTACAAAGAATGGTTAAAGAAGAGTCTCGCCGGAACTATCGAACCCGATCCAAACGTTCCCCATATTATTGCAGATGTTGGAGCCAAGCATCAAATCCGACTTCATCAACTCCAAGAGAGGTTTGATAGGAATGAGTTAGAGCATCAACGTCGACACTCAGAAGACGCCAAAGTCATAGATCAGTTGAAGCAAGAGCTACAAAAATCCAGGCAATGCATGTCAGAACTAGATGAAAGCATGGAACAACAGATTCAGTCGGTCGAGAGGTTCAGACATCAAGAAGGGGATCGGTTAGCTAGAGATCACCTATGGGCGAACAGATATGCTATGTGGGAAGAGGTCAACATCGCCAAGAGGGCCAGACTTGGTGAAGGATCAGGAGGAGCTTGAAGTTTGTTATCATCCCCTGCGTGGGATTGCTTTATTTGTACTTTGTCTTGTAATTTATTTATTTTTCAAACTCTTTTCCCCAATTTTATGTGTGTCAAACATTTTTGAATGCTATTAATGAAATATTTTGGGGATAAT